ACCTGAGCCCCACCCCCCACAGCCCTGCTCCCTGCTGAGCCCCGCCTGCCCCCCCCCAATAAACACAATTCTGCTCAGCCCACACTGATTCCTGGGCTGCGGGCAGGTGGCCGGAGCTCAGGGCTGGGTGTGGACATGAGTCCCAGGGCGGGAGGTGGCCGTTCACCGTGGGTCCCAGGCAGGTGGCAGCCTCACTCCGGGGCCTGGGACTTTTGGACGCAGCCACCTTTCCGGGAGAGGCTGGAACCTTCCAGAGGTGGGACCTTCCAGAAATTTCTATAGTTACTAACTGGCTGTTTAAGGACCGAGTAGCAAAGTTCCTGAAAACCTCGCAGTTGGCTCTGCAGGCCAGTGAGCCCTCTCCACCCGCAACCTTCGGGGTCACGGCCCTGCCTGGAGCGGTGCCCATGGCCTGGGGGTGAAGTCCGGGTCCCTGGACCATGGCTCCGAGTCTCATCCCCCACCCTCTCCGACCTGCGTGCCCCGCGGCCCACTGGCTGCCCCTTCCCAGCTCGCTGTGCTGACCTCTGCACCTTTGCCTGGGTCCTCAGCTGGATGCCCTCCCTCCTGACTTCTCGGAGACTCAGCGCCTGATCCGCCAGCCTGGGCGGAGGGGGGAGCCGTGGGGAGGGGCCCGCAGAAACAGGACTCCACGGCCTGACTGCTGACTGCTCCCCTACACCTCGAGCCTCCGTATGCCCCTCCCAGGGGCCCACTGCCAGCACCGGGCTTCCTGCCCCGGGCTGGGCCGGGGCTAACTTCACATGCTCCCACTTCCCTCTGGGCCGCCTGCTTTGGGTTGGGGTGTGGGAGCAGGCTTCCCCCCTGCACCAGGGCCTGTGGTTAGAGGCAGGAGTGGCTGGAGAACGTTTATTGTATAAAATAATGGGCGCCCTACCCTCCCCTCCCCCCAGGGAAGCCCATCCTGGGGCTGCCCCGCAGCCTGAGGGAGACCCCGCTCCCTCCCAGCCTCCAGGGCAGACTGGAGCCGCCCCCAGAGGAGGCAGCCTGGCTGAACCCCACCTCCCGAGCCCACCCCATGCTTCTAGCCCTTCCCCACCCTCCGTACCCCCCCAGACTCGGACACAGGACAGCTCAACACAACAGCAGACGGGGTAGGGGTGGGGCCGTCCCGGGCCGGGCTAGAAGACCGTGCACTTCTTCCCCGGCTTCTTGACCGGGGGCGGGCACAGCACTGCCCGGATGGCCTCATCGAACACTGTCTTCAGGCCGCGCTGAGTCAGGGCCGAGCACTCCAGGTACTTGACTGAGCCTGGGGGCGCCGGGGAGAGGAGAGTGAGGGAGGAGGGCGGGTGCGAGCCGGTGCCCGCGCAGGTCCGCCCAAGCCCACTCACCGATCTCCCGGGCCATGGCCAGGCCCTGCGGGTAGGTGATGGGCGCCAGCTTCTTGTCCCGCAGCCGCTCGATGGTGTCTTTGTCGTCCCGGAGGTCCAGCTTGGTGCCCACCAGGAGGATGGGCGTGTGGGGGCAGTGGTGCCGCACCTCCGGGTACCACTGTGGGGACGGAGCTCTGACCCGACCCCACAGGGGCTTCTCCCCCAGCCCGTCCCCGACAGAGCAGGCCACGGCACCCCGAGACCCGCACTGAGCCCGTCCTGCTTCACGGGTGACCACTAGGTTTGATGGGGGACAAGAACCCCCAGCCGGGCCCTGGCCGGTGTGGCTCAGTGGATAGGGTGTCAGCCTGTGGACTGAAGGGTTCAGGGGTCGATTCCAGTCAGGGCACAGGCCCGGGCCGCTCGGTCCCCAGTAAGGCACGTGCAGGAGGTGGCCAAACGACTCTCTCTCATCATTGATGTTCCTCTCTCTCCCCCTCTCCCTTCCTCTCTGACATCAATAAAAATATATATATTTTTTAAAAATCCCCAGCCGGAAGCTTCCAGGCCTGTTAGGGGCTCCCAGCCGGGGCCCTTCCCTTCTCTGAGAGCCTTGTACCTGCCCAGCCCGTACCCTCGGCCCCCAGCCCGGGAAACCCCACGCGGAGCCAAAAGGGCACCTCCTCCATCTGCAGAGAACCCTCAGCCCCGGGGTCTTCAGCCAGAGCCCGTCCCATCGGCGTCCCCGAC